GAGAAATTAGATTTCAAGCCAGCTCTGCACACACACACATTTGCTCTTAGCCAGGTATGGCCACAGAACCAATTCCCTTCTGTAAAAAGGGATTTTGAAGTCTTTCAAACTTACACATTCTTTTCACAAAGGCCAAAAAAAAAATCCCATTTTCTGAATTTTCTTGATTAAAATACAATGAAATATCCTTGACTCTTCTGGATACTTTTTTTTTTCCCCAGAAAGAAATGGTTACAGGCTTGAAAAGGAATCTAATTTTTTTTAAACTACTGCTTAAAAGCAGCGTGTCATATCTGAGGGAATGGCTGATCCCATTCTTGAAGTCATTTTAAAAGCTATTGCAATGGTGAGCTTTTCTTGAGCTCTAAAAAGAAAACTGAACTGAGACACCACGAGCAACCTTCCTCAGCTTGCAGAGACAACGTTTTCCTGACAAAGCACTTTGTTTTTATGTCAGGGGATGGAGGAGAGGACTTAGATTCTGCATTCAGTGCACTGGTTAATGAAGTTGTAATAATCATATTCTCCATGGGCTTTTGGCTGTCACTGCAGACACCTTCTTCCCTTCAAAATATGCTTTTCATTGTTCTACTGCCCTTTTTCCGATTGCTCTGCAGCCAAGTTCTTGGAAAGCAATCAGGCTTCTTGTTTAGGATTTATTGCTAGCCTTTTGCCAATGAGGACACACACAAATCTCCCCTCTGATCATCCTGGAAAAGCAGGCTAAAAATACAGCAATTTATGAACAGGCACATTTTGCATGTTATATGGCATCAGTGTGTACTCATCAAAAATTCTGAGAGTATAAAAGAAGGTCCCTCCTTTTGGCCAGGCCAATCAAAAGCTCTGCTTGGGTACCATAAATAAGCTTATTTTAGAATTCCAGTCTACCTAAAAAGGGGAAAAAAAACATTTGCATTGTGTTTTACTGGTTGGAGGATTTTTTTTCCTCTTACATTGTAAACTTTGAACTTTAGAAACCCCAAGTCTGAGCAAAACAATGGTTTATCTTCCAAACTGGCTGCTTTAAAACTAGTCACTAAATTAAGCATCACAATTCTCATTAAAGCTTTAAAGTGGTGACAATTGTCTGCTTGCATGCACTTGGAAAGGAGTTTGCAATTTCAGAGCCAAGCTGTATTTGTGTTTTGTGTTTGTATTTCACTTGCCTGAGAAAGCTCCCACCCACAGAAGCTGCAGGTACCAGGGGAGGAATGGCTCCTGAGGAAGAGCAGCCAGGTAATCACCACGCCTTGGTCGGGCTTTTCTGACCATATTGTTTATTTTTCAAACAAACATTATAGTTTAATTATCAACTTCTTTGAAGTAAGGTGATTCTGTGGCTCAGGCACTGCTGCTGACACTCGGGAACACGAAGGTTAATGAAAAGCAAGGCCAATGAAATGGCTTTAAATTGGCAGAGGGCAGGGTTAGAGGGGATATTGGGAAGGAATTCCTGGCTGTGAGGGTGGTCAGGCCCTGGCACAGGTTGCCCAGAGAAGCTGTGGCTGCCCCTGGATCCCTGGAAGTGTCCAAGGCCAGGTTGGACGGGGCTTGGAGCAACCTGGGCTGGTGGAAGGTGTCCCTGCCCAGGGCAGGGGGTGGGATGGGATGAGCTTTAAGGTCCTTTCCAACCCAAACCATTCTGTGATTCTGTGAAGATCCAGATAAATGTTTCACCACCTCATAATCTGGGATTCTTACTCAACCCAAAATGACTGCAATTGTTATTATTTTTATTTTCTTTTTATGACTCTCATCTTTCTTGTCTTCCTTCCCTGCTTATTCTTTTCCCCAGGCAACACTAGAGAGTTCCCAAGTACCTATTTGGTTCCTATAATTAAACCAGATGTATTTTCTAGTCAGTCCAAAAAGAGTAGCGATTTGTGAAATGGGATTTTGCATTCAAGAAATGAGAAATTATAATTGAAGGAAACAGCATAAATTTAAGCTTAATAAATAATGAATGAACTTTCAAATGCAATAAAACTCCATTTTTTTGCATGTTCAGACTGGCAGACTTCTCAATAATTTTGTGTCAAAAGCCTCATATTCTGCAAAAATATTAAAATTTCCTCAAATTTATTCTCTGCTCAAAAATATTCACCAAAATATATTTTTGTATGTGAACTGCATTTACTCTTTTTGTTGCTCTAATGAGATTACTCATGTATGACATGGCATCAGTTAATTCTGGGTGTGCTTCTCATTGTGATCATCAGATTCAAGTGCAAGTATTTGCATAACAGTTATAAAACTTGCCTCCTGGTATTTCAGTTAAAAAAGCTCACTCTACATCAGGGTGAAGGAACTTAGAAAAGAGATCACAGGGGAGGGGGAAAAAAAAAAAAAAAAAAAAAAGAAAAAAACCAAAAAGTTGCTACCAAGGCCAAAGCAAAGGAGTTGCAAAATTTAAACCAATATTTGCTATAAAACATTTGTGGTGGTCACTCAGCCCTCCTTCTGATTCCCTGGTAGATGCCCACACTGCTGGATTTCATGTTGCAGATCTACCTGAACGTCCTTTGGAAACCAACCTGAAATTTCCCTTTTGCCACGGATAATGGGGTTTGTGTTCCCCTGGCAATTGTGACAAAACTTCTGCTTTTACTAAGGTTTGCTTAGTTTACTTAGATCCCATCATTTTCCTTCATTAAGCACCAACCACCAAGTAGCTGAGCTTTTACTTTTGACTTAACAAGTGGAAACACACATGCACACACTTGGCTTTGGCTGCACGTTCACCCAGCTGAATCTACTGATGGAGTCTGCAGGACCTGGAACAAACTTATTTTTAGATACCACCATAATCCTCAATATATTAACTTGCTTTTGCTCCTGCTCTTCCATATGCCTGTCTGTCTTCTTCATCTGCAATGACAACCACCTGCGTTACTCCCTGCAAATTTTAAAGCCACTTTAGTCACAGCAGCTGGCAACAATAACTAAAAGTGTGGCAACACGCTCGATGCAGGTATTGTGGCTCTGATGTCAGGTACAGCGCTTGCCCTTTGTTCTTAAAAATTTAAACAAATTTTGCATCCCCTCTAAAATAAATGTTTTAAAAATAAAATTAGCACCGGGCCTCCAAAAAACCTTGTTGGAGGTTCATACGTGGCTTAAAGAACAGTTGGAATGTAGTTTGGAGTAAATCCTGATAAATCTCTGCCTTTTGGATTATAGCTAACAGCTTCTTTAGTAAGACTTTAACATAATAAGACAACATTACTATAACCATCTTCCTGAGAATGGTAGAAAAAGACTGTAAAACCGAGTGGCACATTTAAAATTACTTGCAAAATACTGTCTCTCTGTAAACAACACACACAATAACTGTAATGAATACCAGTCCTTTAAAGTATTCCTGAAGTCTACTGAAATCTAAATCTACCATGGCTGGTAGCAACAACTGCATCCTAAACAATACTAAAAATGACGATAGAAGATGAAAATTCTCCATCAGAAGTCAGAAAGTTATAATTCACCAATCTGCTGAATGGGATAACACCTTTGCCCTTAATATCTGCAGAGCTTCTTTGGGAGGATCTCAGGACTTTACTCTTTAGCTAAGCCTCGCGAGTTCAACAGCCCGGGAGTTATATAAACATTATTTTACAATTTGAACTGTTTTCCCAGCAAAAAGGAGCACTCCTCCAGGGGAGGACCATCTGAGCGATCTCTTTTACGAAATGAATGCTGCCTTTCTCGTGCTTCCACGGCTTCAGGAGCCACCGAAGCTCAAAGCCCACGCAAGCCGTGGCCAGCCACGCAGCTCCAGCGCCTGGGAGGACAGCGGGGAACAGGCTGCAGGTTGTGCCGCACCTCACATCGCCCAGTCTAGCGAGTGCTTTCAGCGAAGAACGCCTCAGCAAGGGCTTGGAAAAATGCCTTATTTTAAGGAGTAAGCAAGTAAATAAATACAAACACAAACCCGGGTTGGAACAGGCAGAGAGAGCGATCGCGTCTTGGCAGCGATGCCGCATCCGTAGGACGTGTTGCTTATGCGCGGCGCTCCCCCTCCAGCCGGAGGGATGCTCGCAGGCGGACGGGGGTTCCGCGGGGAGCCGGGGCGAGCCCTGAGCCCCCGGCCCCGCCGTGCCAAGCGCCCCGCAGCCGCGGGGAGACACCCGACTGCGCGGGGAGAGGACACCGCGTCCGCTCCCGACTCGGGGGGAAAGAGCCCCGTGAGCCCGACCCGCCGGCTGTTACCGGGCATGGGCTCTGAGGGTGCTCGGGGGCAGGACGGGGATGTCTGCGGAGCCCGCAGCCGGCACCCGAGCGTGTTTTCAGGGCGCCGAACGGCGGCGGCTCCGGCATCGCCCGGAGCATCCCATCCCGTTCCATCCCATCCCATCCCGCTGCCCGAGCGCGGCGGCTGCCGCCGGGCACTACACCCGCCCGGCCACCCCCCGGCTCACCGGGGCACCCCCTGAGCCCCCCCAGCCCCTCTGCCCGGCCCCGGCTGGGGACAAACACGCTCGCAACAATGGGCATGTTTGCAGCAACATGATCTCACCTAATAACGCCGAATAAGGCAATGACTGCACGGGGAAGCGATACGATCCCGCCGGTCTCACCACACGGCGCGGAAAGCTATTTGCAGATTTGCTAAGCCCTTTTGAATGAATGCATCTGCAGCTGACCTTTAACAATAGACGCTGAAATAGCACAATCTGTGGGACCAGATTTGAGGAGGGGGGGCGGGAAGGGGGAAGGAAGAGATGGGTGAATATTGTAATCTCTGCAATCTCATTCACTTCCTTTCCCAAACCCCCGCTCGCAGGGAAAAAGCGGTTTATACCTCTCCACCGCGACTCTATCTCCAACAAGCCGTTTCTAACACCGGCACAGACACATGGCACCCCGCAAGCCGCCGACAGCGGGACCGGCGCTCATCCCCGCCGGCGCCCACCCGCATCCCGCGGGCACCGCTCCGCGGAGGGGCGACTGCGACAAGGATGCTCCAGCCCCCGCTCTCTCCCCTCCCGCCGCTCTCTCACCTTCCCTGGCTTTCAGCAAAACGGTGTTGGCAACGATGTTTTCCAGCTCCATTGACGAGCTCGGGCAGCGCAGGCAGCGGCACTGCAGCAGGACGTCACTCCGAGGTGCGGAGTCTCCGGGCGACCACCCGCCTGCTGCCCCTAGCGCGTTATCCCCCCGCGCATCATCCCCGCCTGCCTCCCCGCTCCCCCGGGCGGAGGCGGCGCTCCCCGCACCGCCGCGCCCCGCTACTCCATCCTCCGCCCCGCCGGCTCCGCCGGTGGTTTGAGGGCTCGGGCGCTCCTGCCTCCCTCCCCGGGGGTGTGGCAGTGCCGAGCGGCCCCGCAGCCCGCGCAGGCGCCGGCTCCGCGGGGCCGGGCACGCCGGGACCTGTAGTCCTGCGGGGCTACACCGCACCTGGAGCCGGCTCCGCACCCGCGCAGCGTCCCCGGGGACGGGGAGGGCGACAGCGCTTGCCGGGGCTCGGACAGGGGCCGGCCACAGCCCCGCGGAGCGGGCGCGGGTGGGTGTTCGGCGCTGGGGATGCGCTGGGATGCGCGGAGCGATGCGCGGAGCTCCCCGCGGTCCCGGTCCCGCCGCAGCCCTGGTGCCGGATGCCACCCGGTGGTGGCGGGCCCGGTCCGGCCCGGAGCTCCTCTGCCCTGCCCGGGGTCCCGGGGCTCCCCAGCCCGGGTCTTCGTGCTCCTCACCGCCCCGCAGGTGCTCGTTCCCGTGGGAAGGGGTCGCCGACACCCGCAGACTTCTTCCTGCCCCCGCCTTCTCCTTGGGCCGGGGCACGGGCGTCTCGGCTTTCCTGGGATCTCAAAAGCTCCCCAGGAAGTACCGGAGGGAATCCCATCTCTCCTGCTGCACCATTGTTTTCACCCTTGCAAGCAGCTGTGTGAGACATCAGCCACTTGTGGAAAGTTTGTGAATTTTAAGCGCTGGATTACAGCATAAATTCTCTTCTGTCTATATAGCACAGATGCTCGTGTCAGCTTGATTCTGATTTTCCTAGCAACGGGGTAGATCGATTCAGCAGGTCAAGCAAAGAAAGAGGATAAAAACGACCCATTACTCCCGCTGACACTCTTCCCCCATCTGTATTTGCATTGATTAAATCCACATGAAGTAAATCAAATTAACGTGCACCTTCTTGTAAGTGGAGCATAGACATTACTTTCTTCTTCTTTTTTTTACTGTACCGATCCATTTCCACAGCCAGGCAGAAATGACTTGCAACAGCATAACTTGCAGACTGCCTAGAACACATTTTCTGAATATAGGAAAGAAATGAGAAACGCATTTCATGAATAATACCTTTGACATTAGGGTAAAATTGCTATAATAAATGCTTTTTGTACCTGCTTAAGTGCCAAAGGTTTGAACTTTGAAAGTTATTGTGCATAGCAGGTGGCACTGCTATGTACCATCTTCCACATCCAGAGCTGTGCCATGTTGTGGTTACTTTCTCTGTAATGCCAAGTTCTATACAGCAGCAGTTGTGCCTGTAAGTACCGGAAGATTTTTCTCTGATTAAATAATTCTTGAGGGAGAAATTGCTTCCTGGAAACCAGAGCCTCAGCTCAGAGAGGAGGCTCCCAAGGAGCATCTGCCCTGCCTGTTGTTTGAACAGTTCTGTGCAAGCACTGGTGCTTGCTTGTACGCAGAAAATCATGCTCAGGTTGAAAGTGCATTTCACATTCCTGCCCAGCCTCCCACTCATGGTCAGCACAAGGACAACACCGACATCACAACACGGCTAATGTTGGAAGACAGATACAATTTTTATTATGCAGAATGTTTTTAACTGCTACAAGAAACTCCTCTTTCCAAAGGAAAAACGAAGGCATGTGTCTAAGTGCCCATTTTGTGGAGCACCACTCACTGCAGCAGCGAGTTCAGCTTCTGCTGACAGCAGTGGGGTATTGCTGTGTCTGCCACATCTCAGGATGAGGCTGCTCATGGGGAGGGATTTACCTTCGTGGGACACTCCACAGGGAGCACTGGCTGTGTTTGCTGGGTAACTTTCACAGAGGTGCCTGAATGAAGACAGCAGATCTTGCAGGTCTCAGGTCTGAGCTGCACTTGGAATTCAGCATGTGCTCCGGACGGCTCTACCACTCCTCTTTTCTCTGATGTCTCTCTGTACCTCTAGATGCGTGGAGCCATCTGCAGTGTCACCCCCTGGGACAAAAGTACGACTGCAGCACGCTGATGTTGTCCTGTGTGCTTTCAAATATTTACTCCTCGAAAGGGTAAACATATTTATCGAAAGAGTTACGACAGCTCTCTCTCTGGAGTTGGAGAACCCCACGGAGCTACCTAGTGTTCATGAACGGCACAGCCTCGGAGCTCTCCACCATCCTGGCAACCAAAGGCACAGTTAACAGTCCCTGCAGAAGCAGGGGCAGCAGCTGAGCTGCATGTGTGCTGCTGCCACTGGGGTTATTTCAGCTGAGCTGCGAGACTTTGCGTTGAAAGGGACGAGCAGCAGCCACAGAACTTAAACGTGGTGATTCTTGTGTTACTTAACAAATAAAACCTGTTTCTAGCAAATCTGAGCCAATGTGGTGCAACCAGAACACGGAAAGATGTGTGTTCACTAGCATTCACCAGCACTGCTCTGAAAAACAAAATCAAGGTGATCAGTCCTCACTGCATCCCTCTTTTCTACTGCAGTTTTTTGAGCTGATACATGACAAGGGTCTGCTTCCAGCACAGGCCTGAGATGGATGGTCCCCTTCATGGATGCGGCCCCCCAGGTGCTGCCAGAGCAAGTGCCAGTGCACAGACCTACTCACCGAAAAGTCCATCAGCTGGTCTTTGCAAGACCCACTGCAGCTTTTGGAGTCTTACCTCAGGACTTCTTTATAGCTGGTGGTACCTTCGTTTCTGTGCCACCTGGAACCATCTGGTTCACAAAACCAACAAAAAAAAAATTAGGAAGAGGTAGATTTACTTATATCCATTTTCTCTTGTGACAACACGGTCCTTTAATTTCAAGGCAGGTCCACACCTGCTTTAATGGAACCGTCAGGTTCTCGGTGAGTGAGGTGGAAGGAAACAGGAGACTTGTAAATCTGTTCAGTGCTTGTCTTATTCTATTCACTGTTGTAAACTCTGGTGCTGAAATGCATGGACTCAAAGACAGGGTGGCAGGGGAGGAACACAGGTCTTTTTGGCTGGCCTAAGGATCCTGATTCAGTGCTTGCTGGGAGAAAAGGGAAAATTTAGTCTGAATCATATGCAGCAGCAGCCAATTTTAGAAGGGGAAAAAAAAAAAAGACAAGCTACCAAAAAAACCCAGCTAAATTCTGAAAAATGTGCTTTCTAAGGTGCTTAATGTGTCTGGTTGTTCTGCTTTTAAACCTCCATCTGAAGTCACTCAGGAGAGGCTCAGAAAAACACCTGAAAGTGCTGAACATCAGGATGAAGCAGGGCTGGCAGCCATCTTTCCTTTATGGGAAAAGAGAGGTTTGTAAATGAAACGCCAACACCGCGCGAGACCCAAATGCATCAGCGCAACAGGAACAGGGAGGCAGCCAGGCAGTGTGATATTCTGAGCCACTCGAAGCATGAGTCATCAGCAGGGTGGGCTCGCACAGCTCCAGCCAGAAACACAGCAGCAACACACCCAGTTTTATCCTGCCACCAGAGAAAAACCACTCGGCCTCAGCACAGCCTGCTTGAAATGCCAGGATAAGACCCCCGGTGAAGCAGATGGCAGCGAGGCTTTTGCCTGTGTTTATCAGCTGGAAACATCCCCTAACAGCAGCTATCTCCTAAATCCATGCCATAACACTCAATTCATGCAGTCGAGCCCGTTCATGATTAGGTCTAAGCTGCATTGTGCTTGGAATTGCTTCTGAAACTTATTGCTACAAACGGGCAAATTCTTCCTCCTCCCGCTGAGCTTCGGTATCAGCAGGTGGGAGCACACAGGCCTGTGAGAGCATTTGCAGGCAGCTGGAATATTTTCCAGCTCCTCTGTGTGCAAGGACAGAGGCTGCCACCTACCAACAGCCACGGGGTGATGCATCGTGTTGTCTAAGGCAAACTTTTTGCTTTGGTTTAGACAAACATTGTTTACGTCTCTGCTGTTTCTTTCCATTTCCAAACGTGTTTTTCAGTCGTGTGTTTCCTCCAGGTAGATCACAAATGATGGTTACAGCATTTGAGCGCAGGGAATAAAATAACCTCCCAGAAGATGAGTGGATTTGATTTTTTAAAGAAGCAGACACATGCATCCCATACTCTGCACAGACTCTGCCATTCAGTGACGCATGGCAGCAGATCTGATTTGGGATTTGCTTACCCCTTTCATCGGGTTTAGAGAGAAGTGGCTACTTTCCCCCCAATATTTTGTTGTGTTAACGATGATCTTTCAAAGAGCTCTTTAAAATCTCTCACAAAACAACAATGGTAACAACACACAAGCGTTCTCTAGTACTTTGTATCAACAGATCTTGAGGTTTTTCATGAGAAAGACATAGTTAATTAATCACAGATAGGAAAAGAGAGACACAAGTGTCCTAACCAAAGATAACATTTACATCTCTCATTATCTGTTCAGGTGTCTTATCCACTGCTCTGCAGCTTGTATATCAACTTCTTCCTAAAGCCTGCTGAAATCCCTGGAGAGTCTTTCCCCAGCTTCAGATGTCTCCATTTGAATCAGGCATAAAGACAGCAAGGGAGAAAACCAACAAGATTTGGGAAAAGAGGTGCAGATGGTGTCACTCGAGAGATTTATTTTGAACTTCTGATGTGAAGAAGAACCAGGTTTAGCAGCTGCTCTAGCCCATGCCAGAGCCAGAGCCAAGGAAAAAAATACCAGCTTTTACCAGGTGAGCTTTGGCAGTGACAAGGTCCATCTTCAGACTGTAGGGATGCTCAGTAAAAGGTAAAAGGGAAAATCCCCCCTGCTAAATGGCAGTAGTTCAAGCTTTTGCACAGAGGCCTGAGAAGCTGAATTACACTGCCTTCATAACAAAGCATGAGCAATATTTCCCCACCCGCAAGCCAAGTGTTTAAACAAAGAGTTTTAAACAAATATGACTTTCCAGGGAGGGGGGAAGGACATCGGTTTAGAATACATTAACTCAGAAGTTGTGAATAATCATCTGTGGATGAGGCAGCCATCCTCAGGAAATCCGAGCAATAACCCTTTTCTTGCTGCCACAGTGCAGCTCCCCCAGCTGAGGCAAAGCAAGCCCTGTGGCCCAGCCGTCCCTGGGCACACAGTTTGCTGCCCAGCCCCGGGGGATTCGTCTGGGAGAGCACATCTCTCCACCTCAGCAATGTGCCAGTTAGCAGGGGTGAGTACACACACATGCCATCCTGCACTGCTGTGTAAGGAAATGGCTGATGGCTTTGCTGCTCTCTACCTACAGGTGTCCCGACTCAGCTTCACTGCTCACTGCTCCACTTCCAGCCCTCAGCAGTGGCACAAACACCTCCGACACCTCTACTGTGGTCATGACTTTCCATACCTGCTCCTCTCCTCTCCAAATCCAAGGCTGTAGACTATGGCACAGCTCACCCACAATCTATCTGACACACTTCCTAACGTGCAAATAGTTACTTGCTTCCACTTTTAGGAATTGAGGTGTTTTTAAGCAAGAATGCCCCTAAATTTTAGGCAAAATACGTGCAATTAAATTGAGCAGCTCAGCCAGGCAATGCTCCTTGTTCAGCCAGTGACCTTCCCAGGAGAGTCCCAATCCAGCTGGCACTCTTCAGCAGCTCTGGTTCATCAGCAAGAGACAAAACTGAACTTCTCTGTCACAGACCTTCAGGTGTCCCTGAATGAAGCACTGATGAGAAGCAAGGGGTACAGAAGGTCCCTTAGCTCAGAGCCTGGTAGTTCACTGACCCAGCTTCACTTGTGCACACATGTTCAAATACACACTCAGAGCCTGACAGCAGGTGTTGAGCCTGAAGGGAACAGCCTCAAAATCAAAAGCAACTGTGATGTCTGTTTGAATTCAAGGAAATCAGTGGATGCAGGAAGCAGTTATACTACTATGCAGGTGGAGACCATGCTGGGGTATCCATATCCTGTAGTGTCCACATTTTCTTCCCTCTCATCTCACTCTGGCTATAAGAAGGGAAATTGCATTCAACTCAGTTTGACTATTTAAATGAAAGAACACACAAAAAGAAGCTAAGAAAAGAAAAATAGACTTTTAGAAAAGTGATTTTCAGTATTCTGGGCCGTGCACATTGCTTGTGCTGCTCCAAAGCACATGGCCTGAAACGGGAAGGCAGTTGGTATTTCTTCATGAAGGTGATCTCTGTTGCTGCCACCATCAGGTATTCAACAAAAACAGCCTGAGAAAACCTTGTACTGCTCAACTGACTCTGTTCAAGTAGCTCCTGCAGTTAGAGTTGTGGAGGCCTGGGCTTCAACAGCAGCCTCTCTGAAAACCACAGCGGAAGGAAATGAAGTCTTACACGTGTCAGGTGTGGTTCCTTCCACAGGCCACACACCTTCCCTGCACCGGTTTCCCTGGCAGGAGGTGGGAGGCCTGCAATGGCATTTGTGACTCCCTTAGCTCTCGCAGAGGTAACACATCCCCTGACTGCTCTTCCTAGGGATGAACCCGTGTGGCTTCACAGGGATGGTCCATGCAGCCAGCAGGACTGGGACAATCCTCCAGGGCTAACACAGGCACACATTCAGGTTAACACAGAGCTGCTGCTGATCGTCATCAGCAAGTGCCTGTGAGGGAAGTGAGACAGTGACTTGGGTTTGCATCAGCTCACAGCCGACAGAGGATGAGCAGGCACATGGCTGGCACACTGTAGTTGTTTAATTGTGATTAAACAACTAGGGGCTGTGAAGATGGTGAAGGGCCTTGAGGGGAGGCCGTATGAGGAGTGGCTGAGGTCACTCAGTCTGTTCAGCCTGGAGGAGACTGAGGGGAGACCTCACTGCAGTTGACAACTTCCTCGGGAGGAGAAGAGGAGGGGCAGCACCAATCTCTTCTCTCTGGTGACCAGAGACAGGACCTGAGGGAATGTCATGAGGATGAGTCAGGGGAGGTTTAGATGGGATATCAGGACCCAGGGAAGTGGTCACAGCACCAAACCTAGTTAAAAGTGTTGGGACAGTGTCTCTCTCAGGCACACTGTGGGATTGTTGGGGTGCCCCATGCAGGGCCAGGAGCTGGGCTTCCATGAGCCTTGTGGGTCCTTTCCAACTCAGAATATTCTGCGATTCTATAACTATAATCTGAGTGAGTTCAACGAAGTCTGAGCCAAGCGCATTTGTAAAGTCCGTATCTGGAAGGCTTCTGAGCGCGAGCTGGCCTGTACCAGCACACACCAAACCCAGGTCCCACAGCAAACACCAGCAGCAGCACCTCAGCACAGCCTGTGCAGCTGAGGGGCTCAGCCCGGGTACAGCACCAGGTACACTGGGAAATGGGGAGGGCATGCCCTGAGTGCTGTGTCCAGTTCTGGGCCCCTCAGTGCAGGAAGGACATTGAGGGGCTGCAGCGAGTCCGGAGAAGGGCGATGCGGCAGGTGAAGGGTCTGCAGAACGTGTCCTGTGAGGAGCAGCTGAGGGAGCTGGGGCTGTTTAGTCTGGATTAAAAGGGACTCAGAGGGACCTTATCGCTCTCTACAACTCCCTGACAGGACGGGGGAGCCACGTGGGGGTCGGGCTCCGCTCCCAGGACGAGAAGGAAACGGCCTCAAGCTGCGCCGGGGGAGGTTTAGGTTGGACATTAGGAAGAGTTTCTTCTCAGAAAGGGCGATTAGACATCGGAACGGGCTGCCCAGGGAGGCGGTGGAGTCACCGCTGAAGGGAAGGCTGGATGCGGCACTCGGTGCCTTGACCAGGCAGCGCTCAGTCACACTCCGGCCCTGCCGCTCTCGGAGGGCCCTTCTAACCCATCGGCTCCCGCGGTGCCCGCTTCTCCCCGCCCCTTGCGGGTCCCCGCCCGCAGCGGCCCGTCCCTCCGTGCCGCCCGTCCCTCCGTGCCGCCCGCCGCTCGACATGGCCGCCGCGCTGGGGAGGCTCCTGCGGGCCGCGGTGAGTGCCCGCCCGCCCGCTCTGCTCTGCCCTGCCCGGCGCGGCCCGGCCCCGCTCTGACCCGCTCTCCCCCGCAGGTGCCCGTCGCCGCCGCCGCCGCCGGGAGGAGGGTGACGGCGCGGCCCCCGCCCTGCGCCCGCCGCGCCCTGAGCGCCGGTAAGTGCGGGCGGGAGGACGGGCGGGCGCGCCCCGCGGCGCTGCCGGGCCCGGCCGCGGCCACAGCCACGGCCACAGCTCCCTGCTCTGCCCCGCAGGCGCCGCCCGGCTCGCCCCGGCCGTGACACAGCACGCCCCGTTCTTCAAGGGAACCGCCGTGGTGAACGGAGAGTTCAAGGAGCTGAGCCTCGATGACTTCAAGGGGAAATACCTGGTTCTCTTCTTCTACCCGCTGGACTTGTGAGTGCGGGTTTGTCCCCGTCCCGCGGGCCTCCCGCCCTGCTGAAGGTCATCACGGGCGCGGCAGGTCGCTGCTGGTTCTGCCCGATCTGGGCCGGCCTTGCAAGGCAGATGTGACTGTTTCTAGAGCCCGGGGGATAAGATTGGGGGCGAGTGGCCACTGTCTGTTAAAGCAGTGGATATGGTGGCCGGAGAGCATCTTCTGCCTGCAGGGACTGCCCCAGGAGGTGGATGTGCTTCCTCTTAAGGTCAGGCCCCAGGGGTGAGGGTATTTCATTTGAGGGTATTTGGGGCTGCCTTGGAGACTCTCCTTTAGGCAGCAGCAGGACTGCAGCTACGTAGCTGCAAGGAAAAATGTGACCCGACGGGGTTAAGTCTGTCAGAAGACTTAAATCTCGAAGAGCATCCCGGTGTATGTAGGCACACGGGGGAGGGTCTAACCTGCAGTCCTTTCTGCTATAGCTTCCAAAATCTCTCTCTTTAGAGAGTGCCTAGCAGAGGCAGTTTCTCCATCTTTGCAAAGGATCTGTTGTGGGAACTGGCCTGCCAGCTCCATGGCTGTGACTGTTGCTTTGAGACTGAACCTGATCTTGAACGGGAAACACGGTTAAAATTACCAGGCTAAAGAAAACGCTCTGCTGCATTAGAGCCTCGAAACAGACAGGAGAGTCTTCTCTAAAAAATTCTCTGAAAGGGTTGTAGAACCATTTACCGCCTGATCTCTTCTCCCACCCAGCACCTTTGTCTGCCCCACGGAAATCGTGGCTTTCAGCAACAAAGCGAATGAATTTCGTGACGTGAACTGTGAAGTGGTGGCAGTGTCAGTGGATTCTCATTTTTGTCATCTGGCCTGGATAAATACACCACGAAAGGTATGAATCAATCATCTGTTTCAGGTTTTCTCTGCTGGTTTGGTTTCTTTTCACAAGAGCTCCAGAGGAGTCGATTAAATAATTGTGCCAACATTGATTTTTAATAGACTGCCTAAAGTAGTATGTGATTAACTTCTACATTTATTGACATAATTCTGACATCAATCTTTGTTTTCTCTCTCTTTTTCCTAATTACTTGGTTTTTGAACGTTTTGCTCTGTTGATAGTAACGTTTATTCTTGTACATTTATCTCAAAAGACAAATGCTCAGTGTACAAGCCACAGCCCTGAGATGTCTGTTACAGCTGATAGTGCACTGAAACTATCACAGAAAATGAAGAGCAGCTGTCTAGATTTTATTGTTACGCAGTGCCTAACAGTGGTGTCTTCAGAAGGGAAGCAGAAGAACCACCAGTTTATTGGAGCACTTGTATTATTAACTCTCACTTGCTGAAAGGGTTCCTCTCTTGCAGTATAAATGGAGGGGTTGGGCTTTCTTTAGGGCAAGAAAATGATCAAACGGCCTTTTGCTGGAGATAAGCCTCTTTCAGATGTGTATAAAATACATGCTCTTAACTGCATAAAGGACCTCACGAGTTGAGTTAGTTGTAGAGTGGACAGGGTGGAAAGAATTCCATGGTGGTGCTGGAAGGAAGCAGACACCCAGAGGAGCTGAGGCCTTGGTTTCTCTGACATCTGTGCTCAAATCCCTGCCCATGAGAACTCTGTTGCAGACAAGCGTTTGCAGGATCAGTGACTGAGATTACACAGTGATTCACCGGCGATGCCAGGAATAGCAAAGCTAACAAACTCCAGCCTTGTTTCAAGGTTAGAGAGCCTATTTCTCTTGCAGCTCCAGTATGTAGCAAAACTGAAAGAAATCTTCTTTGACTCTCCAAATAGTATTTAAATTGATTTGTGGGAGGAGGAGAAAAAAAAATGCATGCACTGAGTAGAGCAGCAGAACTCTGACCATACCAAGCGTGTGTGCTTAGAATCATAAAATGGCTAAGGTTGGAACAGACCTCTAGGATTATAATAAAGTCCAACCATCAACCTTGTACCACTATCACGTTCATCACTAACCATGTCCTCAGGTGCCACATCTGCATGGTTTTTGAACACTTCCAGGGATGGTGACCCCACCACTGCCCTGGGCAGTCTGTTCCAATGCTTGACAACCCTGTCTGTGAAGAAATTTTTCCTGATATCCAATCTGAATCTCCCCTGGTGCAACTTGAGGCCATTTCCTCTTGTCCTGTCACTTGTTACCTGGGAGAAGAAACTGGCCCCTGCCTGAGCTTCCTTTTCTCCAGGCTGAACAACCCCAGCTCCCTCAGCCTTTCCTCGTAAGACCTGTGCCCAAACACTTGTGCTTCAACATATGTTTGTTCACAATATGCAGTTTTCCCTTCCCTCCCCACCATGTTCATCTTATTTAATTCTGAACACTTAAATATGCAGTAGAAATTGTTGTGTTCAAAGCCCCTGATTAGAGTACAGTGTCAGTTTTTCTGAAAATCCACGACTGCTGCCATTGGTTGCCTTTTATTTACCACCAAAATACGCAAATCTAAAATGCTCAGTGCAAAAGAGGTTTTCACGTTGCAAAGAAACCAAATGTTTCTGACTGCTTTAAAACAAACAAAACAAACCCAAACAACAACACACACTCCTGGTTCCTGTCATGGAGCAAATGGCATGATTGTGCATTTTGAGTGAGTTTACCCTAAAGAGTATCCAAGTGTTTTGTAACCAGACAGAATCTTACTCTCCTCCAGAGCGGCGGTTTGGGCAAAATGAATATTCCAGTTCTGTCAGACCTCACCAAACAAATCTCCCGTGACTACGGAGTGCTGCTAGAAGGACCTGGCATAGCACTAAGGTAAGGCATGATTTCCAAGAACTCTGTTGTGACACAGCCCAGTCTAAACCAAGGTAAGCTGCCCAGTCCCCCTCCTGTGGGAGAAACAGCACAAGGATCAAATGAAGACACTCAGATGTCACTTTTGCGGCAATACTGCTGGATCCTGCTAGGAAAAGGGCACGTGGCCATCGTGGCCATGAAGCTCAGAATGGTTCCAGCCTCTCTGGCAATGCGTGCAGGGGAAACACGGTTCTGAGCGAGGGGCAGAACTCCATGTCTCTAAGGAAAACAAGAGTAGCATAGGAGAGCAATTTCTTGGTCTTTATGCATATTTTGTGCTTTCACAGTACCGTAGCAGTTGGCTGGTTCCTGGCTTTTGCTCACTAACAAACAAGGTACCTAATGCTGTATTGCTGCTCTTAACTGATGCCTAGGAACAACTACATCTAGGAATAACATCTAGAATACATCTAGGACTGTTCCTTGCTGGAATAGTCCATCCAGTTGCTTGTATTCGGGCTTGGAACGTGGCTCGCGTTCCCTAAATTGCCGCTCGCTTGCAGAGGTCTCTTCATCATTGACCCGAACGGGGTCATCAAGCACCTGAGCATCAACGACCTGCCCGTGGGGCGCAGCGTGGAGGAGACCCTGCGCCTGGTGAAAGCATTCCAGTTCGTGGAAACCCACGGAGAGGTTTGCCCGGCAAACTGGACCCCCGAGTCCCCGACGGTAAGTGCCCTGTGAGCAGCACTGCTCTGGGCACGGACACGGGCCTGGGGGTGTGTCAGCAGGGCTGAGAGCCCCTGGGTGTTGTGTCCTGTTGTTTTTATAAAGTATGCATGGATTTCCTTGGGCAAAGTGTCAAATCTGTAATTTTTTTTTTTATCTTCTCTGTAGCAAATAATGATTAAGTTTTCTTTTCTCGACAGATCAAACCAAGCCCAGAAGGTTCTAAAGAATATTTTGAGAAGGTGCATTCATAAGCACTCAAATATGTGGACAAAACTCTTAGTTACCATTAACTGAAAACGTTAGGAAAGCGGCTGTGATTGTAAAAATAAAAGTTTTCATTTTCTCATGTTCATGAAGAAATTAAATGCTGAAATATCTACTGACTCCCTTGTCTTACTTTAAACAGAAGGATAGAAACTAAGGCTCTCCCCCCCACTTTGCAACTTCAGCTTCATGAATTTGTGACCACTAGTTATCTTCCTCAATGTGACAAATACACACAGTACAGTTACCTTCCACTGGCTTTTCCTCTTTCCTTAACTAGTTTTGGACCAGAAAGTGTCCTGCATTTCCATTTCTCACACGACATTAAGTTCTGTAACAAGAGTTTGAAACAATATGGACAAGACAGAAGACGGAATTTTGATGCATGGTTTTGTTTTTTAATGAATTCGGCAGAGAAGGAGATGAATGTATCAGGGTAATCATTCTTTTTTGTAAATGCACTAAAACATGAGTGTAAATATGTGCCATTTTAATCCTGCAAAATGCTGTGCAGCTACACAGGAGGCGCGAAGAACTTCCATTCGTTTGGGAGACGGTGAAAACTTGAACCCCTATAGTGTCCTTTTTGGAGCTTAATGGCAACTCTTCCCTCATTTGAACTTGCTTGACACCGATGTAGCCTGCCTCTAGCTACAATAAAATAATCTTAAACACTTGACAAGCAGCAGGTGTGTGGCTTTGCTTCTCTTTCACTTCCCCCCCCCACGTCGCCTAAACGGCTGTGAGGAAAAAAAAAAAAAAGACTCCCAAGCCAAATTAGGTAGGAGATAAGATAGGGATACAAAGATTTTAATGTCTGTATCTGTAGGGTTAGGATGTTGTGGCTTGAAAAAGGCAATTTCCACCCGCCGAGCCGACGCGCCGCGGTCCGGGCCCCGAGCGTCCGCTCGGGGCCCGGACCGCGGCGCGTCGGCTCGGCGGGAAGGGCGGGCGGAGCGATCGGCCCTTCCCTTCCCTTTCCGGCGCCATGGACGCCAACCTGAGCCTGTGGAGGGCTGAGGGGAAGGTCGGGGATGGGGGCAGCGCTGGGGGGTTGCGTCTGAACAGCCGCCCTTGTGTTTCCCCCCTCACCGTGTGTGTCTCCCCCCCCCCCCTTCCCCCTCAGTCTTTCTGGCGGAGGTTCCTGCTGTGGGCCGACGTCCTGGATCCGCTGCTGCTCCTCCGGTCCTCGGTGAGGGGGTGTGGGGGATCGGGTATACGGTCGAGGGGATAGTGAATTGACGGGGGAATGCGATATGAGATATCCCGATGGCTGGAAGGGGAGATTTTGGACAAGGGCAAGGGGGAGCGGCTTCAAGGGCAAGGGTCGGGTGGGATGCTGGGAAGGAAGGAATTCCTCCCCGGGAGGGTGGGAAGGCCCTGGCACAGGTTGGGCAGAGAAGCTGTGGCTGCCCCTGGATCCCTGGAAGTGTCCAAGGGCCGGGTTGGAGCGAGCTGGCATACTGGAAGGTGTCCACCTGGGACTGGGTGGGCTTTTTAAGGTCCCTCCCGACCCGAACCATCCCTATGATAAATAGAAACAATCCTGTGTGCGTTTCTATTCCAAGCGCATCAACCCAGGGGCATTTCTGGGCTCAGCCATCTCAGCTGCTCTGCCAGCGGTTTGAGTTATCCCAGCTAAGCACCAGGAAAAACCCCCAAGGACGAGGGAGCGCCCGGGCTGGCTGTGGAGGACCTGTGATGTTCTGTAACTGATATATTGCACTTCAGAATGTTGAAATCTGAGTGGCTTTTTTTTTTTTTTTTCCCCTGTTCTGATTTTTCTCCCAAATGCAGGATGAAATAAAAAGAGCCAGGTTATTAATAGGAACCAAGGAGAAGACCCTAAGTGAGCCCCTGCGCAATAATCAGGTATTTTGGAGTGCAGTTAAAGTCTGGACACAAGTGCTTAGGTTTTTAGCCATATTTAAATTGGTTTTTGTTTTAAAACACCTACTAGCTTAACTTTTTAAAATTAACCTTCTGTTCTGCCATAGTGTGTGCTTTGGTGCACAGCACACGAGGTGTGAGTGTCTTGTATTCAACAACGAGAGAAATTTTAGGTAAAAAGTAATTAAATGTATCAATGTACAGCACTTCATATAAAAGCAAGTTATTAAAAAAAGAGATAAATGTAGAAAAAAGTTTTTATGCAGTCTCTTCTAAAATTTGATTACTAACCGAACTTTCAAATTGTTTAGACAAGACAAGCCGCCTTGCTAAGCCTGGTGAGTTTAAAAAATATTTAGAATTTTTTTTTCCGTATTCAAGTATGGCAAAGGTGTTCTAATTTGCCTTTTTTTTTTTTTTTTTTTTAAGTCCAGTGTACATCCTGATACAAACAATGTAATTCCCGTTTTGTTTAGACCTCCAGGTAAATTCCCTTAAATGAAGTTTTGTGTATGTGACTGAAGCATCAAGGGGGAATAGCTTGTAGTAAGTACTGTGATACTGCAGAGATACTCTTCTCCATACGGAAAAGCAAGTAGACTTTTACCTGCAGACTTTTAATTGTCATATGTGTGGAAGATTTATTTGTTCCTGTGTTCCTCTTGAGGAATTTTTCTCATGATTTATCTGCTCACCTAGAGGGAAATATTCTGACTAGTCTCTGTTTCTTGTCAGGAATGAGTTCCCAAACCCCTCCACATGTAACTGTCTGCTATAAACTAAGTTGCTGCTTGATGACTTTACTTGCTGTGGGGGCAGATAAAATGTGCTTGGAGCTGAAACTAGAGAGGAGAATTTTCTGCTCAAGACCATCCATCTGGACTCACAGCAGTTATTTTTACTGAAATAAAGTTTTCTTTGTTTTTTTTTGTTTTAAATTTTTAGCTTTCGCGCCCATGGCTCTCCCGTGGGTGAGTAACCGTGGCAGATGTCAGTGTGCATCTGGCGGGGCTTTTTTTTTTCCATAGCCAGGGGTTGGAGGGAGGGAGGGAGTAGAAGGTTTTGGGCTGCTTCACTGTACTTTCACACAAGCTGTTTCAAAGACATCTGTTCTATGGGAAGTGCTGAGTAACCTGGAAAATGAGCCCTTAAAGAATCCTCCTTGTCCAAAGCTGTGAGCTGCCTTCCTTCAGCAGTATTCCAAGGGACTGTTCACCTGATGCAAGGTGGAGCCACTCAGCATGGAGAGAAAGGCCTAACTTTGGTCTGTTTAACCTCAAAAATCTGGAACTGCAGTAGGAAGGGCTTGGTGCCTCGTGTTTCTGTGTTTCAGGCCCAGAATATGATTTTTTTTCCTATATAGATCGTGCATGTGCAAGTAGGAAATAGCATTGTCAGTAAATTACCAAAGATACAAAAATAAACTCCTGTTAATGTGCTTGAAAATTGCACCATTTTGTTTCATAAAATTTGTAGCTGGAATGATATGCATGTTTACTAATTTAGATGTGTTTGGGTTTGGATTATGATATACATGGTGAGATACATCTGCAGTCCATGTAGAGATTACAGCATGAACTTACATGCTGCTAGGAGGAAGCATAATGAAAGTCTTGGTGGCTGTTAAATTCATCAAGAGCAATAACAAAATTAACAGAAATACTTCCTTATGATGTTTACAGCTTAATGCTCCTTCATAGCTGTGATTGGATTCAGTGGTGGTACTAATAAGAAAGACAGTTGATCCACTAATATTAAATGAATTACTGATGCTGCTCTGAGGCTTTGGAGATTCTCCTGCTTTCCTCTTAATTAATACTGAAATTCTTATTTACTGTCTGAATTTGAGAAGGAGTTGGGAAATAACTGCTAAAATCTTTCATCTTAGAGCAGATAGGTCTAGTGTTTATAGTCCCACCAAAACCAAGCCGACCCTTTCTCATTCAGGTTTTTAACTCCAGTTTTATTACCTGAGTTATTTGCATCTATTTAAGCTTCACAGGTATAGATGCATTTTTTAGTTTGGGTAAGAGGGATCTTGCTCAAATATTCTTACACATGGTGCTTTAACAACTGTGTGTTTTACATATGTTTCTGTGGTTTATATTAGAAAGAAAAAGTGAGCATGTCACCTCTGTATCAAGAAAACATAGCCTAGAATCGAAGCAAATGACACTGAGCACTGAGTGAAGCCTTTGACACTGCTGCCAGTAGTAGCACAGCACTTCCCCTGCTGCTTCTGCACCAAAAACTTCTACGTTCATCAAACCTAATTTTCTTGTGGGGTTTTCCTCTTAGGTCATTGTTTCATCTCTTCAGCACCAGGCAAAGTCAGCTTTTTTTTTCCAGGTAATTGCCTCTTTCTTTTCTACTTTTACAGGTCTCCTGGTCTCAGTGCTGAATTCATTGTTCCTTGTTTCCTCTTGTTTCTGCAGTTCGTGTTTCACTCATATACCACAGCATTCACCCTGCTGAATGGAAATGGCACCCCAAAGGCTGAAGTATGTGTCAGTTTTGGGGTTTGAACTTGATTTGCAAGTGCTTTGCAGATGTACTTACGCAGTGTGTTTCTCCTGCCCTCCTTAGGGGTACTCACTCCAGCAAAAGCAGATATTCTATGGCTTGGGAGCCATCTCCTACGCAGCCTGTGTTGGGGTATGTATTTGCTCAGTGACTGCTTCCCTAATAAGCTCTCCTGACAAGGAGTAGGCACTGGGGTAATCACACTGCTGTCCTCTACATAATAATGTTTAATGCTCTTTTTGTTATGATATTTTGTATTCTTACCAAAAGAGCGATTACAAGCACTTTCAGTAACTGGAGAACATGTATATTTTGTCAGAATGTTAAACCAAGGCATTTGTTTATTTTCATAGGGGGTAACTATGTACTAAGTCGCAGATTTATCTTCCTAACCTGTTGTACATACTGAAATGCTGCACATTTTTAGTAAAGGTCCTGTTTCCTCCCTATGCCTCAGGCTCTCCCTCTTATTTTCATGAATCGCTACACGCTGAAGAGTCCATTGGCACAACTAATCGTCAAAAAAATTCTACCTGCTCCTCTGCTTGGTGAGTAGAAAGACATTGTGCATTGTGCAGTTGGTGTGAGGGCTGTTTGCCCACCTTACTGTAGAGTTTTCTTGGCCAGGTTTAACGTTTTGATGCCATTAATTAT